TGCCTGCCACTGTCACCCTGCTGCCCGCCACTGCCCTGCTGCCTGCCGCTGCCCTGTTGCCTGCACACACATACGCAGACACACACACACATATACACAGGATGGCAGCAAACGGAGGGAGAGAGAATAAATGAATGCAATAAAGATGGAGAGACTTGGCCAAGCTGCTACCAAGCTGCACAGTGGTCTGTAAGCCGACAGCGACAAGACCCCAAGGTCGGCTCTTGTCCACCGCCAACAGCTAATGGCAGGAGACAGAATCAAACATTATGAGCTGGACCAAGAGAAATATGAATGGTTCGTGGTAACATGAAGGTCTTCTGCTGGGGGACAGTGCCGTGGACACCTCCAAACTCATGTAGAGGTTTCTCCTGGGTGAATTTCAGCCACAGCATCTGTCCATGTATGTTTTGACTCCATATAAGCACACAGCCACAGCAGACGGAAGACGATCTTGCGGACTTCTGGGATACAGCAGACCAGGAGCAATTCCAGAGACGTGTGCCTTCTCCTACCCCAAGGTTCATGTAGCATGGTGGTCTTCGCTGTCAGAGGAAAAGCACCTAGAAGAACCTGGGTACCTGGTATGCAGAACTTCAGGAGTTCAGGCTGGAGATCCCATGCAACCTGGTGGCCAATAAAACTGATGCAGATGTGGAGATGATTCAAACGAACTTTGGTTTTGCCAAGACGCTCTCCTTGCTCCTGTACTTTGCCTCAGCTGCCGCGGGTTCTTGTATTGTGAAGCTCTTCGATGCTGCTGCTTGATGAGCCACGGTTTACAAAGAAAGTCCTGGGGGACTTCATGGATGAGGCCAAACAGGAACTGAAGAGTTCCAAGTGGGAGCAGAAATAAGAGGCAACACCAGGTAGCACAGAGCGGCATGATCGAGAACACATCTTCGTTTTGCTTTGTTTTTCGAGGCAAGATTTCTCTGTGTAACCCTGGCTGTCCCAGAACTTGCTCTGTGGACCAGGCTGACCTCCAACTCACAGAGACCCACCTTCCTTTGCCTTCTGAGTGCTGGGATTAAAGGAGTGCCGCACACCACCCATCCCTGTCTCTTTAATCAGAAGACATCCACCTAGGGCTAAGTTGGGGTGTCTGGGAGTCATTTGCAATACCCTATGTCTGGAGAACCTCCCCAGGTTACCCCTGATCAACTTCCTGCAATCCCACCGTTCTGTGGTCCATGATGAGGTGACCATGCTAGACAGGTGTGACACCCACCGACCTCCTGCAGCAGAATGAGGGTCCATGTCCTTCACATCTCCCCAGCCCACCCGCAGCCTGGCAGTGTAGACTCAGTGCGCATGTTCACGTCTTCTTAGTAGACATTTAATGTTTGCTGTCATCCCAAACTGACCTTAGGGACTCTGCCTTGAGCTCCTGCTGATAGGACGACTTTTCCTCTGTGTTCTGCAGAATCTGTGACACCTCTGTCCCTTTTCCTTCTGAGTCTCCCAACCAACTTTTTCTTTTTTTTTAAACCCAAACACTTTTTTTAATATTTATTTATTTATTATGTATACAATATTCTGTCTATGTGTATGCCTGCATGCCAGAAGAGGGCACCAGACCCCATTACCGATGGTTGTGAGCCACCATGTGGTTGCTGGGAATTGAACTCAGGACCTTTGGAAGAGCAGGCAATGCTCTTAACCACTGAGCCATCTCTCCAGCCCCCCAACCAACTTTTTCAACAATATTTTTGACAGACAACAGTGAAAATTCCGGGGGTTGTCTGTCTGTTATCTGAGGAGCTCTTCTAGGTCTGGGTGAGAACACAGGAGCAGGACTCTCCTGCAGTCGAGCAAAAACACCACAGGTCTGGCTACATTTGGTCACACACACTTTTCTATTCCCCACTGTATGAACAACAGCCGCTTTTAAAGCCTCTGCCTCAGGGCAGAAAGCATTCCTCCTCCTCTCCAGAGCAAGTTAAACCTGCATCTTTTGTGAGTGACAGAAAATGACAGAGGAAGAGCTGCCCTGCTGCCTGTCCCTGCCCCGCTGCCCGCCACTGCCCTATTTCCAGCTGCTGCCCCACTACCCGCCGCTGCCCTGCTGCCTGCTACTGTCCCACTGTCTGCTGCTGCCCTGTTTCCCGCCGCTGCCCTGTTACCCACTACTGCCCTGCTGCCCGCCGCTGCCCTGTTTCCTGCTGCCAGTCTTCTTTACTGATGGTCTGGAGCATCATTGGCTTTGACTTCATTGTTTTGTTAGTATCGTTTCCTTTTGTACAATGGAGATTAAATTTCATAAACAACAAAAGATGGGTAAAGAGATAGATGTAGATAGCTCATCAGTTAAGACCACTGGTTGTTCCTGCCCAGGATCCAGGTTCCATTCCCAGCACCCAGCGTGTCTAGTTCCAGGGGGTTCCAACACCCTCTTCTGGATGCCGTGGGCACCACAGGCACATAGCGCACAGACATATACATGCAGGCTAAACACCTATGAACATAAGATAAGAATAAGTACATCTTTTAAAAAGAGAGGAGAGAGAGAAAGAGAGAGAGAGAGAGAGAGAGAGAGAGAGAGAGAGAGAGAGAGAGAGTCCTACCAGAAAGAGAGGAAACAAATCAGGCCTTATTTACAAAACTGGTGTCTGCACTAAGGAAGGTCAGCCACATGCATGGTCCTGGGAGCTGGGACGGGACATCCAGGACGAAGAGGCAGCCCAGACACTCGGTCTCTCCCTATCCTTTACATTTTTCTTGCGATATACCTTTTTTTTTCTTTGCTTCTTAGTCCCCAAAGAAAATCTCCTGCCTGTAGTTTTGGTTTTGGTTTTGTTTTGTTTTTAGCCCTCTCCATAAGAGGCCCTGCAGAGAATGCCTGGCCTCTGGTCCCAGTCACAGGCTCCAGGGAAAGGCCATAGACTGTCCATCCTGGGTCAGGAGGTCCTGGTGGACTCATTTGCTGTGGAACTATGATGTCACGTTCTGTGGATGCCGTTTTTACTCTCTCTGTGGATGGGCAAATAGCTTGACCCGTTGGAGAAAGGACAGGTGACCCTGCTGGTGTCTAAGAGAAGTAACAGGAAGAGGTGACACCTGGTCTTCAAGAGTTGAATTGTTTAGCAAGTTATCTTGGGTGTCACCCAGTGGGGACCATCCTAGGACTGGGCCAGGGTTGGCCCCAAACAAGGGAGAACCTGAGTTTGCAAGGTATAAAGTCACATGGGGAAAGATGCCTAATTTCACTGATACCTCTGCCTCCATCCTAAACCAGACTCCCCACCCAGTCTTCCCTACCCAGACTCCCCATTCCAGGCTCCCCAGTGCAGGCTCCCCAATCCGGTTTTCCCATCCCAGACTCCCCAAACTGTTCACCATTCAAAGTGAGAGCAGGAGCCCAGTGGCAAGTCTCAGGCCTCTGATTGCAGCCCTGTCTGTATTTTAGATCAACTACTATGCAGATGTCATCTACACATCGGTTGGCGTGGACCCCACCCAGTCCCAGTACGTGACAGTGGGCTCTGGCGTCATCAACTTAGTGATGACTATCGTCTCGGTGAGTTACTGGAGAGCAGCCTCTCTCTCGCTGCAGGGTCTCCAAACAGCTCCCTAGCTGGAATACAGAAGCCCCCTTAGGCCAGTTAGCCTGCAGGGGACCCTAGTCCTGGAGGCACTATTTGAGTGCCCTTGGTCAAGGGTTGGGGTACAGCTCAGTTGGTAGAGTGCTTGCCTAGCATGCACAAGTTCCTGAGTTCAATCCCCAGCACCACTGTCAAACTGCACACCATGGCTCAGACTTGACAGCTCAACACTTGGGAGGTGAAGGCAGGAGGATCAAAAGTTTAAAGTCATTCTTGATGATATCGTGAGTTCAGTCCCAACCTGGGCAACATGAGACTCAGAAGCAAACAAATGCTCCAAAGCCAGCCATGATAGCAATTCTTGGCCCTTGACTACATCTGGAATTAACTAAAACCCAAGCAGATGGGCATATGTGAAGGATTTTCTTTCTTAGTTAAATCATTTTAAATCATTTGAAGGGAAAACCTATTTTTTGTTTGCTTTGCTTTTCGGTTTTGCTGTTGTTGTTTTGTTTGTTTGCTTCTGGGTTTTTGTTTTTGGTTTCGGTTTTATTTTGTTTGTGGGTTTGTTTTTTGTTTGTTTATTTGGTTGGTTTGGTTTGGTTTTTCGAGACAGGATTTTCTAGTAGCTATGGAGCCAGTTCTGGAACTCGCTCTGTAGATCAGGCTAGCCTTTAACTCACAGAGACCATCTCTGCCTCCAGAGTGCTGAGATTAAAGGCATACGCCACCACTGTCAGGCTGGAAAACCCATTTTTAATTCAGATCTTTTGAGTCAGGAAGGTCTGCCTCTAATCTGGGCCACACCTCTGTTGGCAGCCTATATAAGGGACACCGAAGAAGGAAACTTGCTCTCTCTGCCTGTTCACTCTCACTCTTGCTGGCAAGTCCATTTCTTTCCTGGCGTTAGAGCCTATTTCTTTGGGACTCCAGCATAGGCTGAAGATCAGCTGAGACATTCGGCCCTATGTACTGAACAACTGCTGGATTCTTGGACCTTCTGTTGGTAGACAGTCATTGTTGAACAAGCTGGACCACAGCCTGTGAGACTTTCTAATAAATCTGTGTGTGTGTGTGTGTGTGTGTGTGTGTGTGTGTGTGTGTGTGCATTCATTCTATATATCTGTTCTTCTGGAGAACCCTGACTAATATAGACTTTGGTACCAGAAATAGGGTATTGATATGACAGACCTAAGGACTTTGGGACTTTGGGCTAGGAAGGCCGTTGAGTGTTCAAAGCTTGGTGAGCTGTGTGGGAGCTTGGGCGATAAGGATAAGAACAATGAGAGCAGAGCAGATGACGGAGGCCTGACGCGTGCATTTCCAGAGAGAAGCTTGAGAGTCGCTTAATGACTCTCTCAGAGTTGTTGCTATTTTGGGTTGAGAATCTGTGGTTCTGGTCTGCTGAACCAATCAGCTGTGATTAAGGGAAGACCAGCATCAACGAGGTGAAGGTCTTCTGAGAAGTGTTTCCTCAATGTTGGCACGCAGAGGCTGTGTTCCACAGGTGACCAAGGTTGTACCTCCTGCTGGCGTTGTAAGAGTCACGCAGTGGTACTGGTTTTGAAAGCATGAGGGGGTCATGGAAAGCAGCTGAGGCTTGGCACTGGGCAAGATCGGGAGAGGCCAATGGCAATAGTGTGGCCTCAGTAGCAGCTGGAGGCCCAGAACTGAAGCCATCATGCAGAGAAGTCGAGACTTGGCACCATGAGGAGAGCCTGGGAGAGGCTGCTGATGAAGGCACAGCCCAGTGGCAGCAGAGACCCCAGCGTTTTGGAGGCACCAGTACCGTCGTATGATTGCCAAGGACAGTATAACTGTGGAGTGGGGCCCGCCCAAGCTTAGAAGACAGGCTGTGTGTTCTACAGAGAACGGAGACAGAGAAGTGACCAAGTCTCAGCTATCAGACACTGGGTTATTTACAAGGTTGGAGTTGGGGGTGCTTTGTTCAGATTGAGATTGTGACCCGCTTTTTTCTTTTTGAAGGAATAAAGTACTTAATTTATTTTTTATTTTACTGTATCCCGTAGTTGAGAGACTTTACACTTTTTTAAAAAAGACATTTTGAAGTTTTACAGAGACTTTGAGTTCTAAAAGAGACTGGATATATGTTTGTTTTTTGAGGCGGGGTTTCTCTATGTAGTCCAGCTGTCCTGCAATTCACGCTATAGACCAGGCCGGCCTTGAACTCACAGAGATTCACCTGCCTCTGCTTACCGACTGCTGGGATTAAAGACAGGCACCACCACGCCTGGCTGAGACTGGATATTTTTAAAGAAACTTCTCAAGTGTTTGAGTCTATAAGACTGGGGCTTTTCAGGCTTGCGAAATGTTTTATAATGTGCTGTCTTTGTCACTGTGCCCTCCGGGGAATGAACAAGAAGGAAAGGGTTATGGTTTAGCGGTGAGGCGTTTGTGTGTCAAGTTGACAAGGGGTCAGTTGTGCTGGAAAGTGTTGTGTCAACTTGACATGAGTAGAGCCATCAGAGAGGAGGGCGCCTCCGTTGAGAAAGTGCCTCCGTAGGGCTGGGCTGTAGGCAGGCCTGGAGGGCAGGCTTACCTAGAAAGATGCTAACTAGGAGGCCTGTCTGCAGTCCCGTTGAGGGGGCTGGAATCGCTGGCTGGCTGGGGAGGATAGACACAAACCAAAATGTTTCTAGGGATGCATATGATGCCACAAAAAGAACGTGTTCGTGTCTTATTAGCTTACTATTGCTGCGGTGGAACACCATGACCTAAAGCAAACTGGGGAGGACAGGGTTTATCTCCCTCATAGTTCCACGGAACAGCTCCTCATCAAAAGCAGTGAGGGCAGGAACTCAAACAGGACAAGAACCTGAAGGCAGAAGCTGGTGCAGAGGCCATGAAGGAGAGCTGCTTGCTGGCTAGATCCTTATGGCTTATTCTGTCAGTTTCTCATAACACCCATGAGCCCAGGGACCACAATGACTGAACCCTCCCCCACCAATCGCTAATTAAGAAAATGCTCTACAGGCCTGTCTCAGGCCTGTCTCAGGGAGATATGTTCTCCACTGAGGCCCCCTCCTCCCCTGTTGAGCCAGCACAACAAAGGTGATCACTGCCACCCAGAGAAGGCCAGACTGGAGCACGGTGACAATCTCAGTGTCCTACAGAGGATGTTAGAGAGTGAGGCGGACGCTCCCAGACTCAGTCTCCACAGACAGACAGAGCCGTTTTTTCCGTCTGGGATTTCTCCAGGTCGGGGGGCGGGGGGGGGGGGGGGGGGTGGGGTTGCTGGACATGGTAGCTGACTGGCAATGTTTAGGATGATGGACAGATCTCACCCAGAAGACTAGGGAGGGACAAAGGACCCTGCAGTTCACACATTTGCTCTCCTTGAAGAAGAGAGATGAACTCTTAGACAGCGGCGTTTGTTGGCCGCCTCCTGGCACCTGCAAAAGGAGCAGCCCCTCCAAGCAAGAGAAGCCCAAAGATGCCAAAGCATTACATGCAGAGACTGGAAACCTCGGCTCTTGGTCTCGAGATGACTCAGCAGTTACGCTCCTCTAGCCCAGGGAGGCTCACAGCCCACGGTAGCTCTAGTTCCAGGAACTCCAGCTCCCTCTTCTGTCTTCCCAGGGTACTGCATGCACATAGAGTACATTGTAAGTCAAATAGGCTCACACATCCACATAAAAACATAATGTGGTTATGATAAGGACAGCGTAGATATCCAGGCGTCTGCAAATGACCAAGACAGTGGTGTGGAATCTCAAGGTGTAACTTACACCAAATAGGTCACCTGATGTAGCAGGGGTGAATAAGAAGAACCTAAGGAGGGTGGAGGTTCAGGGTTCAGGGTCAGTCCTTAGTACTAAGAGCCTCCTCCTCATCCACTCCCCCGCAGGCAGTCGTTGTAGAGCGTCTGGGGCGGCGGATTCTCCTGCTGTCTGGCTATGGCATCTGTGGCTTGGCCTGTGTGGTGCTGACCGTGGCTCTCCTCCTCCAGGTCTGTTCTCACGTCCTGCCCTGTGGGCTGGGGTGTCACCATAGGGTTTCAAGGTCCCAACTGCCTCCTTTCATGGACAACTGCTTCATAAAACCCATTCCCAGTGTGAAGTTCATGAGGGATTTTGCTCTACTGGGCCCACAAATACAGGCATGTAACTCAGTATGATACTAGAATCGCAGGCAGCTGGGAGCCACCTGATAGATGCTGGAAACGGAATGGGAGTCTTCTAGAAGAGCAACAACAGTTCTGAACCACTGAACCATCTCTGTAGTCCCTATACTCTGGTTTATAAATGCAGTCTTGAGGTAATCCCCTGCAATGGGGACAGCTGGGCCCAGATCCCCTCTTGGGATCCTGCCAGATGTCAAGAGCACCAAATCCCAGGGTTCAAAATATCTTGAAGACTAGAGCTGGATAAACCTGGAAAGGAAACAGTTATAACAGGAGCTATAAAATACTTGCAGATACCAGGCAGTGGTGGTGCACGCCTTTCACCCAGCACTTAGGTGACAAAGGCAAGTGGATCTCTGTGAGTTCAAGGCCAGCCTGGTCTACAAAGCAAGTTCCAAGACAGCCAGAGCTACACAGAGAAATTCTGTCTCAAAAACCATAAAAAGAATACAATTAATAAATAAACAAATACTTGAGGGCTATGTTGCCCTGGCTGGCCAAGAACTCACATAAACCAGAAGGAAATAATAGAAAGAAAGATTCTGTGAGAAGCCTTGGTGACTGTCCATCTTCTGACCCTCCATGGCATCCTACCCCACCACCAGTGGCTCCCATGCAGCATCCCATCCTACCCCGCCATCAGTGGCTCCCTTCAGCATCCCATCCTACCCTGCCAACAATGGCTCCCTTGCAGCATCCATTCTAATTCTCACTAGCTAGCTAGCCACTTAGCTTGGAGCCTGCCATACAGTTCAGTTTAAGCCTGTTAACCTGGTTTTGTATTGGTCATCGAGAGCAGGGAACAGGTCTGGCACTCCCTTGTCCTTGGGACCCCTAGAAGGAGTCTCCCCAGACAATTGTTAAATGAGTTGAAATCCCCACTTAGTCCCCTCAAGACTGTGACCACTGTTGCTCTGTCCCTGTGGGACTGAGGTTCTCCTGGTCTGTGTTCAGGGATCTATGGGCTCCAAGTCCACATCGGTGGGATGGAAACAGTGCCAGCCACACTCAGAGAGGGTAACAAGCAGATCTGTGGGATAGAAACAGTGCCACCCACACTCGGAGAGGGTGACAAGCAGATCTGTGGGATAGAAACAGTGCCACCCACACTCAGAGAGGGTGACAAGCAGCTAAAACGCAGTCAATCTGTGAACACAAAGCTGCCTGACTCAAACATGACGGAAAGGCAGCTCTCCCTTCAACCCCACCACTGACAGGTAAGGCTGTGCAAACCTTGATGAACGGGAACGTTCTAGCTCCATCCTATCTTTGCGGCCTCCATGGGGCTCAGAATTCCCGCAGCAGGAGGGTGGGAGCCACAGGTAGACTCAGCTTCCCGTGAGGCTCTTGGCTTGAGTCCCACAGCGCTGCTTCTCCCACAGAGCACGGTCCCTGAGCTGTCTTACCTCGGCATCGTTTGTGTCTTCGCCTACATCGTGGGACATTCCATAGGGCCCAGTGAGTTCTTGCACATCTCGATGGGGGACATTCCGTGGGGCCCAGTGAGTTCTTGCACACCTCAATGGGGGACATTCTGTGGGGTCAAGTGAGTTCTTGCACACCTTGATAGGGGACATTCCATGGGGCCCAGTGAGTCCTTGCACACCTCCTCTACCTACACCAGTCTCTGCAGCCTGACACACATATAGTGCTGGACAAATGCTCGTTGCCTAGGTGACTGTCCTCAGTCCTTCCTCTACCACTGCCTTCAAACCGCTCATCCTCTGACCTATGCAGCTCCGGTGTTCTTTTTTCTCTTTGGTTTTTTGTTTTGTTTTGGTTTTTGGTTTTTTTGTGCATTTGTTTGTTTTGGCTTGGTTTTTGACTTTTTGTTTGTTTGTTTTGGTTTTGGGAGGCAGGGTTTCTCTGTATAACAACTCTGGCTGTCCTGGAACTCTTTGTAGACCAGGCTGGCCTCGAACTCACAGAGATTCACCTGCCTCTACCTCCCAAGTGCTAGGATTAAAGGTGTGAGCCACCACCACCTGGCCTGTTTTGTTTTTTTGAGTCAGACTCGTACTGTGTATCCTAGGCCAGCTTTGAACTCACAGCCCTCCTGTCTCAGCCCCCAAGTACTAGGAAGACAGTAGTGTGTTCCCCTGCCCAGTTCTAGACCCACTCCATGTTTAAAAACGTAGCATCTATTTCATTCAGTGGTATAGAATGAGTTCCAGGCCAGTCAGGACACATGGAGGTAACAATTAGGGGAAAATACAGTTATAGACGTTTGAGACAGCTGAGAAAGAGAAGGAGAGCTGGCACCACTGTGCCCATACTCACGACAAGGGACAGCAATGTGCAAGCCAGGAGCTCACGGGGCACAGTCACTCCCTGACAAGCAAGAATTGCACAATTGGGCCAATATGGAACCAGGGCTGGAAAGGATTTGCACTATGAGGACCCGAGAGGCTTTCCATCTGCTGGGTTGCCACAAATCTTTGCTGGCATCCAGCTGAAGCTCTCCAACCCTCTGCCGCAGTTTGAGGGTAAAAATGGAGTTTCCTTTCAGACCCCAGGCCCGGCAGGTGATCCACACGGGGAGGTAAGGTGCTCCGAGGGTCTGAGGTTCGAAGTGAGGCCCTAGCAACCTTCAGGGACATCTGAACCTTCCTTCCACCCAGGTCCTGTCCCCTCAGTGGTGAGGACAGAGATCATCCTGCAGTCCTCTCGGACGGCTGCGTTCACGGTAGATGGAGCTGTGCACTGGTTCACCAACTTCATCGTCGGTTTGGCATTCCCATCCATCCAGGTGAGTGGCCCTTCATGCCATCCTTGGCCACTCTGCCTTACCTCAAGACAATGAGTAGTTCCTCCTTTCTGAAAAGCACCTCCTGGGCCGGGGGATGTAGTTCAGTTTCTGCCGAGTGCACCTAAAGGCTTTGGGTTGGATCCCAGTACAACACAAACTGCCTACGGTGGTACAGGGCTGTAAAACCAACCCTTGGAAGGTGGATACGGGAGCATCAGACGTTCGGAGCCATCTTTAACTACATAGAGAGTTTGAGACCCACCTGGGATATGTGAACTTTCATCTCAAAGCAGCAACAATCCCCCCAACATCTACCAACTCAAAGCTACCACAAGGAGTCTCAAGTGAGACTCACTCTAGGCCCAGTTCTTTTTATTTGCTTGTTTTCCTGGGCTGCCAATTCAACCCAGAACCTACCATGCATGATACGCAATGCCTCCCCATTGCATGGTATCCTCAGCCTGAAACTCTTAGCCCTCCCACCTCAGTATCCATAGTGCTGGAATTAGAAGCGCACACCACGGCACCCAATTGGAAATCCTTTAGTATGCTGTGCCCCTCTTACAGAGGGGATTGCCCCCCAGAGTTGGAAATGGTTCTCTGTTAAAGATCAAAAATGGTAGTGCCAGAAGAGGAGCAAACCCCTGCTACTTCCCTCCCCTGAGTCAACCAGACCTCGGCTTCCAGTGCAGGAAGGACCCAGAGCCTGTGAAGTCCATGGGAGCCCAACACTAAAGGTCCCTTTTGGAGCTTAGGGATGGACCCAGGTTGCCTGCTGTCTTTCCCTCTAGGAGTAGAATAAAAGTGACCACTAAGAGCATCCCTGTGACTTGCTGAGACACCAAGCGTGTTGTCTGAAGGGTCTCCCTCCCCCTCGTCCCCTCTGTGCTCTAGGCGGCCATCGGGGCCTACAGTTTCCTCATCTTCGCTGCCCTCTGCCTCCTCACCGCTGTCTACATCTTCGTGATAATTCCTGAGACCAAGGGCAAGACATTTGTGGAGATCAACTGTGCCTTCGCCAAGAGAAATGGAGTGGAGCTTCCAGAAGAGAAAGGAGGAGCGACGGCCGAGCCTCACACACCCTCTCTGCCTGACCAGCAAACGTCCTTTTGATGGCTCTGCAGCCCCACGTGGAATCCAACTTCTTTCTTGGAGAAGGACACTTGGGGACCAGGCCTTCTGAGGCTCTGGTGTTCCCTTGGCAACTGGAAGACTTTGGAAGACACAGCACTGATTTACTCGACAAGCGGTTAGTTTCCAAGACTAGCCATGAGAGGGTGGTGTCGATGAATCGGAGTTGATGCTCTGATTCTACATCAATTCCAAAACTTACATGAGGTAGGGATGCATTTTTTTTTCAAGCTAAGGCTTTACAAGTTCTGGGTCTTAGTTTCATATTACTATAATAAAATAACTGGGCCAACTAGCTGATTTAAAGAAAAATGATTTGGGCTCCTGTTTCTGAGGACTGGGCAGACCCCACAGCTTTGTAGCAGAGCAGACTGCTTACGACATCATGATCCAGGAAGTGGAGAACTACAAAGTCCCCTTCCAGAACACAACACAGTATTCTAAGATCCCCTACTAGATCCACCTCTCAGGAGTTCTGCTACCCCCCAACAGCCAGCGCCGTGGGCTGAAGACCAAGCTTCCAACACGTAAACCTTTGGGGACATTCATGCAAACCACAGTCTTCAGTGTGCTCTGGAAGGGTGGGAGACAGCTCAATCCGTGACGCGCATGCCATGCAAGCCTAAGGAATGGAGTCTGATGTTGCACCTGCATAAACGGCCAGGTGTGGTATGTGCTTGTAATCTCAGCATGGGGAAGCAGAGACAGGATTCCGGAAGCTCACTGGTCAGTCAGCCTAGCTTGATCTGGGAGCCCGAGGTTCCAGCGGCAGACCCTATCTTCAAAACCAAGGTGGACAGTGTCTGAGGAAAAATGACATCTAAGGTCAGCCTCTGACTTCCACATGTGTGCACACACAAATGCACATGCACTTGCCCCTTCATGAACCACACACACATTTAAAAAATAAATCAATGATTGATATAGAGATCTGAATTCCAGTGTTTGGCTAACAAATGAAAGGAAATAAAGTCAAAATTATAGATGTCACTACCTTCCCTACAAGGTGGCTCCCTCTCCCATCTGTGACTGGAGATCACATAACTACCCTAGCCAGTGTTTCCAGCTGTATACTATAGATCGTAGCGGCAGCTAAGCGATGGAGCAAGACCTACAGCCACTGTTTAGTGTGTGTGTGAGTCTGCAGAGACCAGAAGAGGGTGTCAGATCCCCCAACTGCCCAACACAGGTGCTGGAACAAACAGCAATTTCTGTTCCTCACTGATGAAATGTCTCTCCAGCATCCCTCCCCCAAGGCTCACCCATACACATGCACAGACACACTCACAATGCTCAGACACACACAATGCGCAGACACACACAATGCACAGACACACACACAATGCACAGACACACTCACAATGCACAGACACACACAATGCACAGACACACACAATGCGCAGACACACTCACAATGCACAGACACACACAATGCACAGACACACACACAATGCGCAGACACACCCACAATGCGCAGACACACACAATGCGCAGACACACACAATGCACAGACACACACACAATGCGCAGACACACTCACAATGCACAGACACACACACAATGCGCAGACACACCCACAATGCGCAGACACACACAATGCGCAGACACACACAATGCGCAGACATACACAATGCACAGACACACACACAATGCGCAGACACACTCACAATGCACAGACACACACAATGCGCAGACACACTCACAATGCACAGACACACACAATGCGCAGACACACACAATGCACAGACACACAAATGCGCAGACACACACACAATGCGCAGACACACCCACAATGCGCAGACACACACACAATGCACAGACACACACACAATGCACAGACACAAACAATGCACAGACACACACACAATGCGCAGACACACACACAATGTGCAGACACACACAATGCGCAGACACACACACAATGCGCAGACACACATAATCACACACAAAAAGACACACACAGCCAATTTTAGAAAACCATCAGTCCGAGGAGATGCTCTCCCCATGGTGGGCCAGTTGATTTTGTCCTTAAAAATAAGGTGAGCCCAAACACGCTAAATGTTGACAGCCATAGTGATAAAAGACTAGACTTTCAAACAATGTCCTGGGGACAATTATATCAAGTTGTAAAAAATAAAGAACTTTTAAAAATTTAAAAATTCTGTTGATTATGAGTGGCATGGGTGTGTGTGGAAGTCAAAGAAAACCTTTGTGGATCAGTTCTCTACTTCCACCTCAATGTGAGTTTCGGGAATTGAGCTCAGTTTCCCAGGCCTTCACAGCAAGCCCCCCACCTACTGAGCCATCTCACTGGCCCAGAAGGTTAACTTTTTTAGCCCCAGATAGAGGCTGTTGTTCGTTTCTCAGCTGCTTGTAGTAATCACACAGAAGCTATATCAATTATAACACTGCTTGGTCAATAACTTAGGCTTCTTTTAAGCTAACTCTTACATCTTAGATTAACCCATTCCTATTATTTTGTATTTTACCTTGAGAGTCATGGTTTACGGGTAAAGTTCCCAGGCATCTGTCTCCTTCAGTGACTACATGGTGTCTCTTTGATTCTGCCTATCTCTGCTTGGAATTTCCACCTTGTTCTATTCTGCCCTACTATAGGCCAAAGCAGCTTTATTCATTAAGCACTGGTAACAAAACACATTCACAGCATATGGAGGGGAATCCCACATCACTATGCAGTTCTGGCTGGCCGGGAACTCACCTGTCAGGCCGGACTCAAAGTCATGGAGACCCACCTGCCTCTGCCTTTCAAGTGCTGGGATTAAAGACGTGCACCACAGTGCCCAGCAGAAGATGAACATTTTTATCTATCCCCACATCACATGTTCCCATTAACTCAAGCCAGACCACACACATAAATTAAAACGTTTCTGTTGTTTTTTTGAGATGGTCCAGACTGGGCTGCAAAGTGAGTTCTAGACTAGCCAGGTTTGCACAGAAAGGGGCGGGAGAGATGGCTCAGAGGTTAAAAGCACTGGGTGCTCTTTCAGAGGACCTGAATTCAACTCCCAGCAACCACATGGTGGCTCACAACCATCTTTAATAAAACCTGGTACCCGCTTCTGGTGAACAGGCATACGTGCAGGATGAACACCATATAAATTAAATAAATAAATAAAATCTTTTTCTTTTTAAGAGGAAGTTAAAAAAAATCTGCATGGTGGTGGCACACACCTTTAATCTTAGTACTTTGTAGATAGAGGCAGGCAGATCAGCCAGGATGGTTACACAGAGAAACCCTGCCTCAATAAATAAATAGAGAGAGAGAAAGGAAGGAAGGAAGGAAGAAAGAAAGAAAGAAACAAAGAAAGAAAGAAAGGAAGGAAGGAAGGAAGGAAGGAAGGAAGGAAGAAATGTTGGGGAGAGTGTCACTTGCCTTTAATCTCAGCACTCTGCAGGCAGAGACCGATCTCTGTAAGTTCCAGACCGCTCAAAACAAAAAAAAAATTAAACAAAATTTATATACTATATTATTTTAGTTATATAAAGTTGTAAACCATGTAAGGTAATCTGTGCTGACAGAAAACAGGTGTGTAGTTCCCAGGGGACCTTTTGGAGTGACAGGAACATTCATTACTGAGGCCATCAAGATGACTCAGCTGGTAATGGCCCTTACCATGCAAGGATGACAACCTGAGTCTGGTCCCTGGCAGTTACATTGAGGTGGAAAAAGATAAGTAACTCCACAAAGGTGTCCCGCCCACCACCTGCCCCAGAGGTGCTGATGGTTCTTAGCTCAGCGCCTTATAAACACCGCCAGCAGGTCTTTCCTAAGTGTCTCTCATGGGATTTCGTTCTGGGGTCAGGAGGCTCCATGATCTAACAGCTGCAACCTCCCCTCACACGGACTCAACAGCATGGTGTCCTGAGGTTGGGGACCACGCTGGGTCAGCATCCATATCTCCTTTGGAGGGGAAGCCCAGGCCTTTGCACTTTGCTTAGAGACTCAGACTCTCTGCCCTTCTGCCCAAGTCTGGAGGCTACAGAAATGTGACCGGGTACAGAGCTTCCACAGGTCAGGGGACCAACAGCCTGGGCCTCACTGAAGTCTGCAGATCTCCTGGGTCAAGAAAGGTGAGGGACTGGGAATTGAGGCTGGCTGGCTGCAGTGTCAGTAGGTATGGTAGCCACCTGCCAAGGATGGATGATAGCCCCTGGGTCTGTGGGAAGCCAAGAGTCCCCCAGAAAAGCTCTCACTGAAGTTAGTGATGAGCCATCCCAACGCCAGTCGGCACAACAGCATGTTGACGAGTGTCTTCAGCATGTTCCACACCAGGATTGCTGCAGGCAGTTCCATTTGGTAAAATGCTCTTTGGGTGGTGCCCCAAACCCCCTGTATTAGTGTCCTTTCCTGGTGCTGTAGTGAAAATACCCTGATTAAATCAGCTTAAGGAAAGGGCTTTGCTTTGGCTCAGGGTTTGAGGCTGCGGTCTTTGCTACTGATGAAAAGCAGGAAGTGGTTGATACAAAGTGTCCAGGTCGGGAAGCAGAGCCGGCTGCTGGTGCCTCATGAGTCTGGCAGTAGGGTCCATCTTCTCACCTCAGTTAACCTAATCTAGACACTCTACCACAGACATGCTCAGAGGTGTGTCTCTTAGGCGATTCTGGATCCAGCCAGATCATGAGTGACAGTCAACATTAGCTGATGTGGGAGGTCCTTCTGTATATGTGCTGTTTTTAATTGGTTGATGAATAAAGCTGTTTGAGCTAATGGCTTAGCAGAGTAAAGCCAGGCAGGAAATCCAAATTGGGGGGGGGGGGGGTATAGTCAAAGAGATACCATGTAACTGCCAAAGAAGAAAGACACCAGAACCTTACAACAGCATTGTGGCAATACACAGATGAATAGAAATGGGTTAATCTAAGATGCAAAAGCTATCTAGGAATATGCCTAAGCCATTGGCCAAACAGTGTTGTAATTAACATAGTTTCTGTGTGATTATTCTGGTCTAGGCATCCAGGAAAAAAAAGCACAGTCTCAGTTTACAAATGGTACCTCTGTGTGTTTCTTTGGAACTGAACAATTGTAGGACCAAGCAGGACAGAAACTCTGTTTACATAATGGTGCCCAATGTGGGACCACATAAAGTCCGAGAAAGTTTAAAAAAAGAGAGAGAGAGAGAGAGTCTAGGCAGACAAAAGAACAGAGTCAAGCATGGCTTTTTGTTAGCAGCATTGTCTCAGGTGGGCTCTGTTTGCTGGCAGCAAGTAAAGGCATGGCTCCTTTTAGAGAGGCCTGACTCAGTGTTAGCAGAAAAAAAATCATGTAGCTCTTATAAGAGGCCCGGCCACCAAACACTTAAATTGTGTTTTTGTGCAGAGTGCTACTAGTTGATTAATGGCGACATAGACCCTCTGCATCCCTGGAGCTGGGGCCATCAGCATGGCTCACAGAGCTGGTGGTGAACGTACCTCTGCCATGTTGGATGGGGTGAAGCCAACAGGCAAAGTCGGCAGCATTAGTTCTAACCATGCCTCTGCTTGCCTCTAGCAAATCCTACTAGCTCAGTCGATAGAGCTCAAGACTCTTAATCTCAGGGTCATAGGTTTGAGACTAACGTTGGGTGCCAGTTGATACATGATTAATAAAAACTCAGAAAACGAAATTGAGGTTCAATCTGAAGATTCAAAGAGCAAAACAGCCATCCACTGATAATGTGGGATTCCCCTCTGTTGGCTTTGAATACCATTGGTTAACATAGAAACTGGCTTGGCTTATGATAGGGCAAAAGAGTAGAGCTAGGCTGGAAAACTAAACTGAATGCTGGGAAAAAGAAAGCAGAGTGAAGAGAAGCCATGGAGCCACTGCCAGAGACAGACATGCTGAAACCTTGCCAGTAGACCACAAGCCTTGTGGTAAAATATAAAATAATGGAGATGGGTTAATTCTAAATGTAAGAGTTAGCTAGCAATACGCTTAAGTAATTGGCCAAGTAGTGATTTAACTAATACAGTTTCTGTGTGGTTATTTTGGGAGTCTGAGTAGTCTGAGTAGCCGGGAAACGAACAAGCAGAGGGCGGCTGGAAACACACTAGCAGCCTCTTACTACACACTGAACAAGTAGAGGGCAGCTGGAAACACACTAGCAGCCTCTTACTACACACTGACTCTTACCTCTACCTCAGTCCAAAATGGTGATCCTGCCTTCAGGAATCTCAGAATGAGACTGTCTGAGAGCTGTCTCCTCTAATCTTTTTTTTTTTTAATCTCCTCTAGTCTTATAATCCTCTCTAGGGCTGGCATTAAAGGCATGTGCTGCCCAGTTTCTATGGCAACTAGTGTGGCTACTAGGATTAAAGGTGTGTGTCACCATTGCCTGGTCTTTGAGGCTGACCAGTGCAGCT